TAGGTGGAGGTGATTGTGGGGTCGAGCCGTGGAGACCAGAGGGGGAGGGGAACAGAGACGAAGGGGAGAAAAAGACATCCCACCCCTCCAATGCCCGTACTGGACTCAACTCTTTTTTTTTATCTTCCCTCCTTTCTTTTTTCTCCATTTTTTCGTTCTCCGCTTTTTTTTCTGCTCCGTGTAAGCGGAAAAGAGGCGTCGAGGGGGCGAAGTGAAGCGAAGGAGAACGACGACGAGCCAGGAGTGTAAGAGGAAAAAGACGCGGGTGGCGGGTGGCGGGTGGCGGGTGGAAAGAAAAGGAGATGGAATTGAGGTGGATGGGGAAAAGGGAGGTTGGATGCTCTTGGGTGGAACGAGAAACATTGGAAGGTCGTGGAGACGAACTCAACTGAACGTGTGGAGCTAGGGTGAAGAATGGGAGGGCGAAGGGAAAGAGGGATAAAGTAGAGGTGGCTGGCGCGGCAGTGACGTGCGGAGGGTGAGGTTGGCTTGGCCAGAGAGAACAGATCCATATAGGGGTGCCCATGGCACACAAAAAAAAAGTAAGGAAAAAAGACGAGGGAAGGGGGAAAGATCGTCCCAGGGCTTCCCAAGATCCCAAGGATTGTCTAGCAGTGGACTTTGTTCCACGCACAATCGATAAATTTTTTTCATTTTCCTGGGATTTTATTGTGCAAATTAGAGCTGTGAAAATTATCTGCCTTATTTTGTTTCATTTATCATGAGCTCATCAACTCATCTAGATAAACAAAAACTAATAGAAGGTATGAAATAGGTCCGTCCTGGACAAATTTTCCCATCTTTTAAAATAATATACATATACACGAATGATGCGTAATACTCTTCTCATCCTCCCTCTCTATCTCCCTCTCCCTCCTTCGCTCTAGCGATCCTCTGTCCATTGAACGTATACCCGTATACCCCGGCTATAGAGATACGAGTAATTCGACAGATGGAGGCAAAGGTCGGACAACGGCACACACACGGGAAAAGTATTTTTCCGGTTACGAGGATTCTTGTAAAACTTTGTTGAATGCACATGGCACTGTCTAGAGGAAACCACAGTGAAGGATTTCAAAAAAAACTCTGAAACAATTCATTTCTCACACTGTTGTTGATATTGCAGAGTTTTAGATGACTCTTCACACTGAATTCCACGAATTATTTCGTCATTTTTGACGGAGTAAATTATGAAATTGATTGATGTAAGTAATCCGTCACTGCATATTTGTTTTCTAAAAAAAATTAATTAACTCGATAATTTGTTTCTCATTCTTCGATCGGAGAAATATTGATCGATCTTGTAAAATGATTCTATATCAATGACTGATGTAAAAACTGCTCTATACTGACTTTAAAATATCATAATTCTACGTTACTCTGTGACTTTGTCACCCATACAATGCCCTTAAATCGCTTCTAATGGCCTATCATGTTCCCCCTTATATTCACTCCTCCTGAAACACAAAAGCTAACCGCAAATTGTACACCAAAAATCCTCAAAAAAAAATCCTGTCATTAGACATTCGCCTCGAATGCATCGCCAAAGCCGATGAACGGTAATGGTTAATGCAAACTTGATTGTCCTACCAAACATTAGCAGCCAATAACACGAGCCTCAACCCCTCACGGCCAATTTTACGCTTACGTAAACCGTCTGGATAGCAGGGAAGATGGAAAGAGAAATAGAGAGAGATAGCGAGACGACGACGACCACTCGACTGAGTTAACATATATAAGACTATCTTCAACCTACATTACACTCTACTGGAGTGTACATCAGATGCTTCTCCTCCTTAAACCATGTACATTTCCTCACTGGACTTGACTTGATGGGAGTTATCAAGGGTTGAGTTTTCGAGTAGAATGGGGAAAGAACCGACATTATAAAAATCAACGCATTCTACGGTAGAACAGTAAAAACAATAGGAATGCCCCATTGAGAGGAATAAAAGGAAAAATCATACAGCAATATTGCTCATCGGGAAAATGATAATGAGCCAACAATTGAATCATCGTACTTCTCCAACACAAAGTCCATTTCTCCCCAAAGATCCATATCCCCTAGACTCACCCAGTACATTTCGTACTGGAGTGACTGTAATTTACAGTACACGCAAGCACGTTACTCTCCTCCAAGCTATCTGTGTTAGTGTTAGTGCACTAGCGCAAAAGGGGTCGGGGTAACAGAGGGGCCATAGCCAAGGAGGGAATACGAGTCTTCAGCCAGAGGCAGAGCCAGAGCCAGAGCCCGATGGCTCGTCCACGTCCCACGTCCAAACGTTGGACGTCTGTAACGCATATAACCCTCTGGAGTTGTCCTCCCCCCGCCCTCTTTTGGAGTCGCTCTTTCTGACACTCGACTGTCTCTATCTCGCCAGTTCCCCTCTCTGCGTCTGTGTACATACACAAGAAGTACTGAGAAGCCTCTTTTGTACCCCTTCGTTTCCCCTTGTGTACCCACCGCCTCTACCACGTGCACACCCCTCTCCCTTTTTGGCTCCCGTGTGTGAGAGATACTCAAGCCCACGCTATCTCTGTTTAAACTATTGATATCTCTCTCACTCTTGTCGCGCTCCTCACCCTTCTCCCTGTTCTGTTGGGTGGGTAGCGCCCCCCCTCCCCCACCCCGCGGTGGGGCCTTGGTACTCCACCTTTACGCCGCGCTGCTTCTCGTTGTTCCTCCCCCCGTGGCTCGTTCTGATGGTGACAGACCCTATACCTTATAGTGACGCCAACATTGAGTGGGAGCGGTGTGTGAACTGCTGGGAATTCACAAGTTTTTTCAAGGAGAGAAAAACCGAGAGAAGATGCAAATGATCGTCCGGATTTTCAAAGTTTCCATGGGAGAATCAACCATTCTATAATCATAGGGATTTAATTGAAATTTTTCCATTAAATGCTTAATTCATTCTTCTTACGTCTATTTTGAATTAGAAAAGGGGCATAATTGATTCGGATTGCCGTTATTTAATTCAATTATCTGTGTTTCCGATGCGGTTGATATCAGTAGCAAAGCGTATAAAGGGTGATAAGCCGATTTTTTTTTTCGAAACTGGACTATTCAATTGTCCAAGTGATTATCAATTGGTTAGTATTGACTCGACTACTCTCCATTTGACTATTACATTTGTTCATTCCACAATTATAGTTTTTATTTTTTACGGTCAATCAATTTGTAATGGTCGGGAATAAGTCCACCTGTTCCGTCCAAATGGACCGCTGCTCGAGATAAGTCGACTTATCTCTCAGAGCTCATGTACACACAAGCGGAACAAGTCAGTGAATTCAGGGATACACTCATCGACGGGGGTTCAGGCTATTTTTACGATAACCTGGCATATAATCAACTATAAATCAGCAATCATCAGTTATAGAAAATATAGTTTTTTGGCTCTTCTGTAAAATGACAATTTATCGACTTGTTACCCTTTACCGTTTCTTTAAAATTTTCCTTTTTTTTCGACAAGCTGAAAATTAAAAGTCTCTCTATTCTTTATTATAAAATTTGCTATTTTTTGTCAGTTGCGTTGATTGTGTCTGAAAGTTGTATCTCTAGAATTTTTTGTCTCACTCTGTTGTGTGCCTCTGGCATCCATGGCCATCCGTGTGGGAGCGGGGCGAGCTAAAAGGGGCGACGACGGGGGGATAGAACATTGACGGAGAGAGGGGAAGGTAAAGAGAGACTGTGAACGTGAAAAGGGGTGTGCGGGAGGCGGAAGGGCGAATGGTGTGCAGTGGTGTGAGTTAGCGGGGTGCGCGGTGGAGGGAGGGAGGGGGGGGGGAGGGGGTAGCAGTCGCCTCCGCGTCGCCAGCCGTTAGTTCGCCGTGAGCGCTCGTTACGGGAGGGTCTGAGATTACACGATTCCACAATTTTCAGTGTGCTTCACGATTTCTGTCTCATGTTCATTGAATTGAATGAAATTTGATCACAGAATTGAATAAACTGAATTTGTTGAGTAATTATTCGTGTTTTTGAACAGATGATGGAATATTTCGGTGTCAAATAATAGTTTGTACATGAGAATTTGACAATTGTGAAAGAGTTTGTGACATTCATCATAAAAGATTGAGTTGAAAAAAAAATTAAAGTGAACTTGAGAATTATCAGAGAGGTTTGTAAAGATTATTTTCCTGATAAAATTGTCAATGATGGATTGTTGGACTTTATGAATCAAGTCACAGAGAAACAGAACGACAGGTCGAACATTTCCAAAAGTGATTTGAAAATCGTGGCTCGTTGACACTCTGATTGCAATAAAAGTGCGTGAGACTCACACAAATTTTTTACATTCTGTGATAAGACATTTTTTCCTCTCAACCCTGGACAGTTATTATCATTATTGCGTCATGCGTTAACGTTTTGGCGCTATTTCTCCTTCTCATCGGCACAGTTTCTGTGTTCTTTTGTCCCACTAGCCCTCCTATTTTTGTGTATCTCTCTGTGAGTGTGTGTGTCATTTTTTTGCCCGGCATCTAATCGTTTGCAAAGCGCGTGTTGCCACTGTCTGAACACTAGAGGGAAAAACAAAACGTAAGGAGCCGGTGCAATTTTCCACGCGGTGTGTGCCAGGGCCTGAATATGTCAGCTAAGCGAAAGGCCACTGCCATCATGCAGCACCACAAGGTGAGTCAACGAGTTTCTTTGTCCATCATTTTTTCTTCTTCTTTTTCTTCTTTTTCAAATCCGTTTGCTTCTCGTTTTTACTGCAATGTCTCTCGTTATCTTTATTTTTCTCCTCAGTATTTCTCTCTCGGTAGTTTCTTACTGCTTTTATTTCTGACTTTGGGTATGCTGCTGGTGGCGAGCTAGTGTGAGGAGATACTCCTCCCACGTGATCTAGACTTCGGT